TTTTAAACCTTAAAAAACTCTTATTTTCTCTTTACTTTGAACACGTCCTGATTTTTTACATTGAAATTTTTTTTTTTCATGAAAATATAGCTAGATGACTTTAAAATTGAACTTGGATCTTTCCAAGGATTAAAAACATATCTAGGATATTAAGCTAAACTTTCTTTTTATGTGGTTTGTTTATCTAAAAATGCTCTTTTCTTTATATCCTTCAAAAATAAGTACCACAGTTTCATAAAAATAAACTAAAAAAAAAAAAATTCTGACTTTGAATAGCCCAAAAACATAACTGCAACCAAGTTGAAGTTTTGATGCTTTCAAAAGCTTTGAATCCTTTTTTAATTTCATGTCTTTAAAAGCTTCGTAGTTTTTTTTTTATTATTTTAAAATAAAAGAACCTCTTTTTTTTTTTCTAAATAGTTGCTATTACCTGAGGAATAAGCATAAAGATCTCAATTTAGTAAACCTAAAAAGACAACCTTTTTTAGATTTCTAAAGTTTGCAAGAAAATCGCTTCATTCAAAAAAAAAAGCATAAAACACTCTGAGGTGTAAGAAAGCTAAAAGCTTTAAACCTTTACACAACAACTAAGAAGAAAAAGCTCAAAAGCTACTTGAACATGGTTTTATCCCCTCAAACTACATCTGAAAAGCAAGATGAGTATTATATGCATTTAAAAAGGTAAAAAAAAAAGGATAAATGAGATATTTTTTCTTTGAAATCCCTTAAATGTAACAACTTTCTTCTTTTTTCAGCCAAACCTTCTTTATTTTCACAATGCCTCTTTTTTTTTTCAACATTCGACCTCCCTTTGTTTCTACTAGTTTTTTGTTTTATACCAACTCTTCATTCACTTGAAAGCTATAAAAATTCTCATGAAATGGACTTTTTTTTTTTGTTTTAGGCTCCTTAAGTCTTTTTTGTCCTTTATTTTAGCTGACCCCAACCTTTTTTTTCCCATGCAAACTAAATGGGCCATGAAAAGCTATGGGCCTTTTTCTTTCTTCTTTTTTTTTTGTTGTTTTGGGTTTCTTTTTCAAGGGCCAAGTTTTGGGCCATCCTCTCTTCTTTCTTTTTGTTTTGGGCTTCAAGCATAAAAGCCAAGTCTTAGTATATTAAAACAACTATGATTTTTGTTTGGGCTTTTTAAATGGGCCATGGAATGGGTCATGAATTAGGTTTATAATTAGGCTGTGTAACGGGCTTTTAAATGGGTAACATTATAAGCCACACAATGGGTTATGCATTTGGCTTTTAAATGGGCCTGTAATGGGCCTAAAAAAAGCCTTGGCCCATGTTAAGACTCTTGAGTTCCATTGACCCTAAAATCGAATTAAATCGAGCCTTAATTGATGTAAAAATGAGCCCAAATCTAATACAAAATCAACACACCCAACATGATCCAAACTAATATGTCCAAATTAAAATTGTATATGAACATTATTAAATTGTTCCAAATAAAATTAGATATTTATATTTTTGTACAAGACTTATTTTTAATTGTAGTCAAAATCATTTAATTTTATTCACGTGACTTAAACATGAACTATATTTCAATATTTGAAAAAAAGTATGGGTTGGTTTGGATAATGTCAAATATGTATTTTCAATATCTGAAAGCGAAATGAACAATTAGGATAATCTCAAAAACAAAACTAAATTCAAATTATTTTAAATTACTATTTGAATTTAACCGAATTGAATACATCAAATTGATTTAGTTTTAAGTTTTTTTGGATTTTTTCTTAGCCTTAATAACTAAATATTACTTTTAATAGTCTTTAGTAACTAGTATTATTTTGCATACTCTTTAGTAATACTAGTTAATAAAAGTATTAATGTTTTTCTCAAAACATCAAATTAAATCAAATATTAAAATTATGATATAATTTTTTTATATTTAAGTTATCAATATATTAAAAATTAAGATTTAATTATATGGAATAAGTATAATGAATCAATAATATATTGTAAATGAATATTTTAAAATGGAATTAAAAATAAAATTAATGATATTATTTTTTGTTTTATATGGATAGTTATTGTAAATATAACGAGATGATAGTATTAAAAATCATTAGATATTAATATTTAGTGTGTTTCAAATTAAATTTATTTTATAATCAAAATTAAATATTTAACATTAATGTCGTTGATTATTATTGATATAATTATTTAATAATTATCAATAATAACATATTTAAATTTAAAATTTTTAGTTAAGAAAAATATTTATTTTATTTATTTAAAAATTCATATAATTATGGTTCCATTTTCTCGGGTTATAATTTGATTTTTTACAGATTTATAATCAAATTGATCTTGAATTCGGCTCATTGCGAATTCAAGTTATGATGAATTAGAATTGAATCAGTTTTGAGTTTTTTCGGATTCAATTTTTTTTTATTTAGATTTTTTTGAATTGAATTTTTTTGGATTTCAATTTTTAATTATTTTTTATTAATTCAGATTGATTTAAGTTCAGATCAATTTAGACATATTTTTAAGCTTGGATTAATTTTGCCACCTCTAAGTAGTATTATTTTGTATAATCTTAAATGATATGAATGGTAGTTTAATTCTTTCATGCAAATTATTTTTGATAATTATTATTTATAATTTAATTTAAAACACTCACCTGTAATGTTCACACTTAGACAAATAATTGATAGTATTTATTTCTTATTAACATCAACTCGATTCATTTGGGTAGGAAGTAGGTGATCCAAACGCACGAACTATTGTGAGCCCTCTGGTTGCATCTCTCTTTTTCATTTTCCAGAGAGTGGGTTAGTTGTGAGGTGCTGGGTTGGATTGGTTGGACTTTGGGTCTGCATGGCTTCTGCCCACAGTTTGACCCAAATGGGCTCGTGGCTTGCCCTTAACAAAGACCAAATTTGCTTAGACTGAGTTAAAATTTTTAAATACTTGGATTCGTACGAAAAATATTTTTTAAAAAATAATTTTTGTATTTTTAGATATTTATTTAATAAAAAATTATTTATAAGTAAAATTATTTATTAATATTTGTTAGTATAATTTTATTTATAAATAATATTTTATTAATAAATAAATAATATTATAATATATTAATAAATAATATTTGATTTTATTTTAAGTATTGTTATATTAATATAATATTTTAATATTAAATATTATTATTAAAGTATAATTAATTTTTAATATTAATAATTTTAATATATTTAAATAATAAATAGTTTTTAATATTTTAATAGTTATATTAATGTTATTTAAAATAAATAAATTTTTTAAAAAATAATCAAATAATGAAAAATATTTTTTATTAATTCATTCAAATATTAAAAAATTCTTTTAATTTAAAAATTATAAATATTTTTTTAAAATTATTTTACAAAAAATTTTTTAAAAAATAAACGTAACCTTATAATAATAATAATAATAATAATAATAATAATAATAATAATAATAATAATAATAATAATAACAACAACAACAATAAGAAGCAGGTGTGATCCACACTCCACAGTCTCTACCATTAACTAAAAACACGGTGTGTGTGAAGTTCTTACCACAAAATCTAAAATGAAAGATGGGATTGGCTTTTGGAGTTTGGGCGAATCATCTGAAGTCACCTTCTTATCGCTCTGTCGGCACGCAAGCTTAGAACAAGATAAGTCAGGAATTTCATACTAAAAAAAATAAATACAATCTATCTACATTTCAATAGTTATCCAAACCAAAAGTCTTCCTTGCTAAAATTCTACTCACTTTGGTTTCTGTTCTCAACCGCCATAAATGATTGGTTTGATACGCCCTTGTCCTGATCACAAAAGTATTTAAAACTATAAAAAAAAAATGTAACCCATATTTCTGTAAACTTCCACGACAAATAGCTCTCCCTTGGTATCTTAATTTCTTCTTTTTTCTCTTTTCCAGAGAATTTTTTTTTTTTTTTGTTTTCTTGCCGTATAAATGAAGATAAATAGATAAATCCAATCCAATAGCTGGTGAAAAGGACATAGGGACACCTAGAACGCGGAAGAGAAGAGCCGAAAGCGCGTAAGATGATAAAAAAGTAAAAGTACTTGCTAGACGTTGAAATTGTGGGCCGTTCACCAACGGAAAAAGTGTGTCATTCTAAGCAGACGTCAGACTTGACCTTTATCCCCTTCCTTGGTCTTTAACCCACACACAGTTTGCCTCACTCTCACCACATTCACCCAAAACTCTATACGATAGCGTATTACCACTTCTTTTCAACCAAATTATCAGTTTAGATCTTTCTTTTTACATTAAAAAAAAAGTTGTCAGGTGTCACCACTTTATTGGCTTTCTTTGGTCTCAACAGTATTTTGGCTTCATTTTAGGTGGTATTACTGCTGAATCATTGTGTGCTTGGGAATCGAATGACCAAAGTCTTGTCAATGTCGTCTTCTGCTTTTGGGTTTGGTTCGACCACTATTTTCATATTTCCTCTCCAAAACTAAAAGAGTTGTTCAATAAATCAAACCAACAACTGGGTAACGGTTATTACTTTTTTATTATTATTTCTCGAAAGAGTTTGCTTCTGACCGTGTGCAAGATAGGCTCAGTTGGAAAATCCAACCAAAATTCCTAGTATACCGATAACATTAAAGTCCAGATATCTGTTGGCCAAAATATGATTTTTACGTAAGAATTCTACTGTACGCATGGCAGAGATTGTAGTGAGTGGAAACGATTGTAAATTCAGTCAAGACATTACCCTCTCATTAAATTCATTAAGCTGCAACAAGTGAATCGAGAGAAAAATATTGCTATTACAAACACAAGTGACGTGCGGAGGTAAATAACCAAAAGGTATAGTATCTTTATATTAATGACTACAATCAAATTTAAGTTTGAAAATCAATTATACTTAACAGTCAATACTAACCTATATTAATGAATAGAATCAAATATAAGTTTGAAAATCAATTATAGTTACAGTCAAATGCTAACCCGAATCATGGGGAAAAAACCATAGCAATTAGCGAGCAAAAGACAAATGTGAGACGCGCATTTTGTTTCATAGATTAAACTGAATGGTACAAAGTCAGTGAAACAATGAAGCACCAACCATAGCAACTATACCCTTATAATTCTCCATAAATGCTACTTCATGTCAACATGAGATCATTCCCTACATGCTTAGGACGGAGGCAAACACGGATTTCGTGTTCTTCATGCACCACCCGCAGTTTCGGCACCATAATCTCAAGCACAGAACCCGGCCCATCGTGGTATGCTTCTATGTTAGCGTCTTCAGGAATTCGAGTTGACAGTGGAATTTCTCTAACAAACTCCCCAGGAGGGCAATGCTCAGAAGCAGGATCTGTAAGTTTGAAAGTCCTATCATTTCTCTTGATGAAAGGCATGCCGGATGTGCTCACACAAGATACCTTTATGATACCATGAGTGAGAGTATTCCTCCAAGAGACCTTGACCCTCTGAAGATCAACAAAAGGCAAGCTGATAATGATCAAGTAACCTGCTTCATCCTCATAGATAGCTTTTGCAGCAGTGACAGGCCCATAAACATTTTTTATTACCCCACTGAAGTCATTTAACCACTGTGGCTCACCGGGATGAATTTCCATGTTTGGAATTCGGTCAGATGAAGGAATGACAGGCGAATAGCAATCATCATCATTTCCGTGCGGGAATAAGTCTTTCCTCCTTTTGCTGCTGACAAGTGATAAGTCCATCCCATCACCATAGCCATGGCTAGATGCTTGAGTAGACAAATTGAGCCCAGACCCATTAAGCAGCTTCTTTGAGTGAGAATTTGGTACACTCTTTATTGAAGGAGGAGGCCTCTCTAGCTCAAAATCTGTGTTTGGAAGGTTTCTCCATGAACTAAAGTCACTAGCTTCAGGTGGAATTGTAAAATTTAAATCCCTTCCAGTAAGCTCCATCCACTTTTTCCGTTCTTCCTCATTGAGAGACATGAGATTTGGTGATGGAACAACGTCGATCCCATGCACACACTGGGGGTTTGACAGTCCTCTGTAATGCTTCCGTTGCATCCTGTGTGAACGTACAAATCCCTTATCCGCACTAAATGGAAAAGGACGCTCCCCTTGGCGAGAATGCCCATTCATGTAACTTCTAAGCTGCATCTTACCCAATGCATTCTCAGGTCTCTCCTTGAAAACCCACATATACATGTTCTCCATGTCGTGCTGAACCATAAAAACATCCAACTTCAGATCTGATTTATCAAAACCAGAAACACCGTTGCTATCACGAATAATCTTGGCCTTTGATTTGTCACTCAAAGCAGGCTTAAAGTAAAAACTAAAGAAAAACCAAGCACCCCATATACTGTCTACCCGCTTGGCACATTTTCTTCCAGCCTTGGAAACAGTAAGGTAGCTCTCAGTTTCATAAGCTTGTGAATTAAGCCCAACATCCAAAATTTCACACTGGTCAGAGCTCCACCGCTGCGGGGGAGGGCTACGCTCAGCAGAGAGAGGCAAATTGATATCAGGTGGACGAGAAAGAACAGTTTGTCTGTTCATTTCTAAATCCAATTCGTCATGGGAGGAAGCGCTTGAATCCATAGATAAAAGAGTGGAAGGATGATGGTTCTCCATTGAGAAGGCTGTGAGGAGCGAAACTCCCATCTCAACTTATCCGGTTGGAGGAGGTAGGTGTTGTTGCTGGTGGATTGAATATTTCCATTTCCCCAAAAAACAAAGAATTCAACAAAATAACAACTTTATAAACACCTTCATCATCATCACTATCAGTATATCAATCACCACATGATGTCCCCTCCATCATAACCCTAGATTTTATCAATCAAAAAACAAACAAACAATCCCCACAAAACCCACAGAAATTAACAAAATTTTATCAATTCAATAACCCAACTTATTAACAATACAACAAAACGAACATTAGAAAAAAAAGAACCCTTTCCCCGTCAACAAAAAAACAACACTAATATAATACAGTAATGAAAAAAGACCGTATTTAAAAGAGAGAGACAGAGAGAGAGAGAAAAAAAAAATCTCTTCAATCTCTACCGAAGGAGAGAGAGATTTTACACCAAAGCTGCTATAGAAAGACAATATCTAACCCTAACCCCAGAATCTCCCGAAATCCTCCGAACACAGGTGGGAAACACTGAATCAAAAACATCAAATCCATAAAAAAAACAAAACAAAGCAAAATAAAAACCCAATTCTTAGGTTTCCTTTTTATGAAAAAAGGTCATAAAACTTATATCTTAAGAGTAAAAAAACGACCCAACTTTGAGAAATCAAAACAAAAAAGAAAGGAGGAAAATTTTTCTAGAAGAGAAATGAAGTGATTTTCAAAGAGTACCTTTTGGGATAAGCATCGAGGAATCGAGATGAAGAGTGTCCTCCAAAAACGATTATGATGCTCATCTCCACCAAATCATCATCATCCACAACCTTACCCACCATTTTTTTCCTTTCTCTCTCTCTCTCTGTGTCTCTCGTTCTTTTTATTTCTTGTCGTCCCTCTATTATACGCTTACACTTTTTCGCTTTTCTTCTTTCATTTCCTTTGTTTTGCCGTCAAAAAAAGAAACAGAGAATAGAAGAGAAAAAGAGGGCAAAGAGAAAACAGAGGAAAAATTAAAAGTGAACGAGACGATAGAAACAGAAACTAAGGCACCGTCTCATTATAGAGAGGTTTCGTTAGTAAAAGCCTGCACTAGATATCACCGATTGAATTCGCCGTTACTTAACGGTAACGGTGAACTTTTTCTTGCGCCATTTTTTGAGAGGTCAATACTCCTCCAAAGTTTCCTGCAAGCAGATTTTACTTATCTTTTCGTTTTTTTACATTTTTTCCTTGTCCTTTAATTTTTTTCTTTTCACTTTTAATTTTTATAAGTAGCCAATAAATTAAAGAAATATTTATTTTTGTAGAGTGGGAGAGAATAATATTTACATTATGATTGGATAAATATTAATAAAGTAAAAAAAAAGAAAGAAAAAAATTTTTAAAGAAAAAAAGATACATGTACTATTGTTTGAATAACTAAAATTAATAAAAAAAATTTAAAAACCATAGTTTGAATAAATAGTAAAAAAAAAAAATTTATTATAATATTTTTTTCAATTCTAACTTTTTTTTAATAAAGTAATATATAATATATAAATATATCTTTATACTATCTAATTTATATAAATAAATCTTTTTGACATGTTTAATATGGTAAGATATATTAGTTAGTTATTAATTTACTCTTAATTTTATATTTAATTTAATCTTTTAATTTATTGTGATAATAATTTAGCTTGTTTTGTTGTTAAGATTTAAAAAATCATAAAATATTTATAAATTGTGATATTATACAAAATACTCATAAAAAAATATTTTTGTAGAAGGTATCAATTATATAATTAAATCTAATATCGTAATAAAAATATGAATCTAATAGTCTTTTCATAAAAATAAAATTTTTTCAACTTTTTTTTCTTTGGCTTTTCCTTCAAGGTAAAATGATAAAGATTAGAAGAGAAATCAAATGTTATTAAATTTTCACTTCTTTCTTTTATTTAAATTAAAAAGTTTATCCAAATAAATTAAATGTTTTTCTGTTTTCATTGCTTTCCTTTATTTTCCTTTATTTTTCTTCTCCTCCCCTCAATCCAAATATAGTGTAATAGAAAATTTTAATATTATTGTATTCAAGTCTTACATTTTAAGTAAAAAATTAATTATTAAATCAAATGTTGAATGTAAAAATATTTTTTTTAAAATCAATGATAAAATAGAAAAAAGTCTAACTTATCCAAATAAATTAAATGTTTTTCTGTTTTCATTGCTTTCCTTTATTTTCCTTTATTTTTCTTCTCCTCCCCTCAATCCAAATATAGTGTAATAGAAAATTTTAATATTATTGTATTCAAGTCTTACATTTTAAGTAAAAAATTAATTATTAAATCAAATGTTGAATGTAAAAATATTTTTTTTAAAATCAATGATAAAATAGAAAAAAGTCTAACTTAATTGACAAATATTAAAAATGAGTCATTTAGGGATGAAATTAATACAATGGTTTTTCTCAATTAATTTTTATGACATTCTAATAGCAAATGGATGATAATATTAATAGCGAATTTTAACATTTAATTTTGAAAGTGAATTAATAATATATATTATATCTTATTTGTTCAAAAAGCATATTCTATCATAGTTATTGATATATATGCAAACAATATATTAATAAAAATATAATGAGTTTATAAAATTATAAAACAAAAATATTACTATGACAACATTACACTATGATTTACAATTAACAAAAGGTAAAATTATTAATTACACAATTGATCAATAAATTAGGAGAATTTCTTGATTCTTTTAAAAATTTAAAATTGAAATAAAATATAAATAAATTAATCATTAAACATTTTATCAAAATAAAAAAAATTAAATATACTTTTAAAAGAATGAAGATGAAATTTAGAGATTAAATGTTGTGGTGATTTTTTATCCTTTTGTGAAGTAGTTTTAATATGATTTTTTTTTTTTGAAAAGAGAATCACTTCATCATGAGATAGAGATCTAAAGTAAAATTAAATATGGAAAATGATATAAAGAGGAGAAATTATAGTAAACTAAAAAGAAAAAAATTTAAGACTTAGTCTAAATGATTTACCCACCTTTCTTAGATGGTGGTTCTCGAAAAGTTGAAGTTCCAAATTGTAATTTTGCCTCTCCTAAATCCTTTAGACTTCGATCTCCATTATACCAAAAAAAAAAAAAAACACAATTGGTACTTGATTGTAAATTTAGTAATTTAAAATATACGATGATACAATAAGAAAATAATATGAAAAAAATAAAAAAATGATATGATTTAAAATTTTAACAAAAATTATATATGAGGTTAATAAAATAAAAAATATATTTCATAATTTTGTGTCAAAGAGAATTGTCACACGTAATTTTTGTATAAATTACGATAAAAATATATGAATTGTCAATATTTTATACAATATGAATATATGAATTGTTAGTTCTACTTGGTTGGAAACTTAAAGTTTGTTGAAAAAGTTAGAAAGTTATTTAACTAAGATTAAGTTCAGGTCATTGTGATTTAAAACTCCTTTAGCAAGTTTTTTTAATTTAAAAAATTATAAGTAATGATTATTGAGTATATAAATGAAAAAGTATCAATGTGATTTTTTTAATAATAATATCAATGTGATTTTAATCTCTTTTTAAATTACAATACATAAAATTAAGCTATGAAACCACAAAAAATAATGAAATTAATATTTTTATTTAAGAGACCAATTTAACTGTATTTAATATATATTCTAAAGGAGTTTAAAAATTCTCCTCATGCCTCATTGCCAACCAACCGCCCTAGGATAATATCAAATTTTGCTACCGATCTATTTTTAATGATTTTGATGGTTTTGGAATTTAGAATTTTCCCCATAAGGGAAACAAGGAACAATTTGTCAAATTATAAGAAAAAACATGAAAAGCAACATCTTATAGCAAATACCAAAAAAAAAAAAAAACTTACAAGGGATTATAACTATTTAATGAATGCCTTTATAAAATTATATTTCATTTTGTTGTTTTCAGTCATTCTTCAATTTTTTTTGACAATTTTCATGGGTTTGGTTGATAAGCCACCTTGTTTGAAGTGGTGATTGGAACTCCCTTTTATACTTAAAGCCTAAAGAAGAAAACGTTCCCACTCTCCCACTCATTAATGGTGGGTGTGGCTATCAGTCCTTTCGTTTGAGGGGCCTCCTCACCAATATTGCCGAAACCCTAAAAATCTCCATCCAGTTGAAAAGTGGGGTTGCTTTTCTCTAAGGCACTTGATTTGAGAACTTTTTGTTTGGTTTCATGTTAGAAAATAATGGTTGGATCTTCTTCTGCTTTCTAAAATATCAATACAAACCTACAAGTTGAAACCATGCTTTCTTTGAGTTCACACGATTATTATGTGATAGTTAATGACTAGTACTCGTTTATAAATTTCTAAAGATAATGCAGTTTTCCCATGTACTTACCACATGCCCTCCCTTGATTTATGGAGTTTTTATCTTCTATTTTGACCATCCCACAAAATTTTCAGCCTTTGCAACATTTCTTGTATGAATATTCATTATTCCTTTGTAAGTGGGCTTGGATTTCATAGTTAACAAAAGGTCAAATTATACAATAGATCCTTGAATTTTAATCAAATGATAAAATTAATCCCTTTATCTTAATTTGTTTAAATTGAATTCCTACACTTCAATAAATTGTCGAATTTAATCAAATTGTTAACGGTTTAAATTTTTTTCATTAAAATTGATGATGTGGCATTTTGATTTTTTTGACATGACATTTTTACTTATGTGGATGTTGACTTTACTAACATGTCAAGTCCATGTGGTAAAATGACTACGTGGCAAAATATTTTTACCATGTCAACATTTTCCACATCAAATTTTGTCAAATTGTATAGCTCGTCCTTGTACTTTGTTTAAATGGTAAAATTAGTTCTTTTATCTTAATATGTGTTCAAATTTGATTTATATATATCAAATAATTATCAAATGTAAGATTTGACCTAAAATAAGTCAAATAAAATATAAAAAACTTTTCAATGCAAATATATCAAATCGTAAAAGAGTCAATGCATAAATCAATATATGAGTTGCACCAAACTCATCTTCTAAAATAGTGCTATTTCAACTTGTTATAAAAACAAAAATTCAATTTTTTTAATTTTCCTTTTTTCTCCTCTCTCTCATCCTTGTTTTCCTTTTATTTCTCTCTACAAATCTCATTTAATGAACTTATATTTTAATGAGATTTTTAAAAATTAGTAATTGAAAATTTTAACAATTGCAGAAAAATTTTATCCCAAAAACTGCCAATATCCAGAAATTGATACACTACCATTTTGTATCATCATCCAAAGCAAAATTGAGTATAATGTTTTAAAAATTCTAAACTTGAAACGTCTAAAAAAGAATTTCTCAGCAAAAAATTATTTCTAATTGTTTTTGTTGGTTGTCTTTGTATCTGTTGTGTTATCTTGTTGATTGTTGTTGAAATCTCAAAATTTTCCCAAATCAATCTTTCAAAAAAATTTTCATATTTTCCTTATTTTTTCAATTTTTGATTTCTTCTTTTTTTTGGTTTTTTTTCTTACTTGATTTCTTGACTTTCACCAACTAAATAATAAAAATAAATAAATAAAATAATTTTGAGCCTTTAAATTTGGGTTTAAAATCCAATTTCACTATTAAAACTCAATTGATTCAAAAACAATTTTAAAATCCAATGTCAAGACGTTATTTGAAGCCCATTTATTGTCTAAAAAGTTTTTGGACAAATTGAAATGTCTACAATTATTTTTATTGTTAATTGTATATCTAGGTATATTGAATTTGTTGATTATGGGTTTCTTAATCTAACTTTTATGTTTTTATTGTTTTTAAAGTTTTTTATTTTGTATATTTCAAAAATATAGAAAATAGAAATTAACAAAAAATGAAAAAATCAAAATCAAAATAAATAAATAAAATGCAAGATAAAGACAATATTTAATTCAGTTTATGCTGAGTTTATAATCTAATTTGAGATTAACCCAATTTGTTAGATTAAGTTTAATTAATAATTCAAAT